CTTTAACATCCCCTGCAGCTGTCTGGAATCCAGTTAGTTCAGCTGTCGTTTGAGCACTCAAAAGGGCGCCAGCTGGAAAGTCAAGGTTAGCAAACTCACCAAATGGCTCAAGGAGACACGCGGAGGCTGGGATGACAGCATGAGGAAGCAGGTGGATGAAAAGAAAGAGGGCATGTTGCTGCAAAGAGGCGCGCGCCCTTTCACGAACATTCTGATGATGTTATTTAACTACAAGTAGATGAAAGGAGGGTAGATGAAAAAAGCAGCTGACTATCTCATCCGTTCCAAGCTACCAGGCCAAGGAGCAGACCAGGCCCGCACGCCACACCCATTGCCGGCAAGGTAAGTGGGTGGGAAGAGGGCGGGCACCGTCGACGACGACGACCGGCCACCCCGAGGCGCGGCTGTTTGGCTGCAGGGCGGGAACGCAAACAAAGAACCTACGTCAGCAGGTGGAATCCCAAGAGCACGTGACCCCGAATCCACGTAAATTCTCAGTATTAAGTTTTAACATAAGAGTGATAACATGGATTCCGGATCTGAAAAACAAACATCGGATTTTGGAGAAGATGGCAATGATATAATTGCAGAAGAAGGTGGGGAGGACATGACTGGTACTTCAGAGTTCACAGTTGAGTGCGACAAGGAGACTGAGGGAGTGATAGGTGAAAATGAGGAGATGCTGCCAGTGGTGGCGGACATGGCAAGTATCACCAATGACAATGTGGGCTCAGAGAACGACAGCGTGAGTATCAGCTAAACTTAGCTGAACAGGTACTCACATGATGTTTAGCGCACTGTTCCTGGGCTGCCATTGGCAACAATTTCAAGTGTCTGCAATGTTGGCGATGCTGTAATAGCCGCAAACAATAACTTACTGGTGGAAGAGAGGCCTTTGGATGAAACCGGGTGTTAAAAACGAAAGCGTGTTCCAAGGCAGATGCCAGATGCCTTGAATGGATGCCTGTGCAGGATAGTGGTGGACTCCCTATCAGATGGGGTTCTTGAATGTAAAAAGCTTGGTTGTGAGACACAATGGGTAAGACTATTTTCCATACGAAAAAACTTTTATACCACTCACCTGCATTTTAGTATCACCTAGATTGTGTTTTGTTGGACATTGTTCCATGAAACTGGGTTTGCGAGGCCTGTGAGGCATCTGGGACAAGTAGAGGGACAAAGTGATCACGATGATGATGTCACATTACCATATATGGAAATGTGCCTGATTACGTAGGTAGGTAGGTCAAGCTTCAAGGTCCAAGGGCTTAATAATAAAAAACGACCCCGGGTATGTTTTTTCAATCCTAAGACCCCCTTGCTTCGATATTTAATTGATCCTCACTTCCAAATTTCAATGTTCCTCCCAAACCACTTTTCAGTGTGCCGTCACATCACCCAAATGCCATCTCGGCAGCCAAGCAATTTGGATCCATCAGGAAAAGGTGTTTTCTCCCATAGTTACTGCATCAAAATCATAGCCGAATATAGCTTCCATTGCCGGAATTGTGTTCCATATCCTTGGTGGGTGGATCTGTAGCGTGTGATTGAGTCCATCACGAAAGGGGCGAGGTACATGGTGAAAGATAGATTTGCCGATCAGCTCTGTAGCTCAGTGCATCCTATGAAGACTTGTCAGAACACTATGAGTGCTACCATGACTATCAAGTCAGTATTGAGCGATGTGAAGCAATGCCTGTACTTGCATCATGTCTCCTCCCTACAAACACTCTCACTTATATGACTGTCCTCCTTCTCACTCAGTAGTCAAAACCACAAATTTTCATACTCAACATGAAATATTTATGCATGCGTAAGTACAGGTAAGTACTGAGTACTGAGTGTTGAGTAGCTGATGGCACTTGGATGAAATCATGGCCATCAGAGCCAGAATCCGAATCGGATGGTGACCCGATGTCACATGATGTTGGTTGAAATACTTTTTGTCTCCTTTTTCTTCCGACGACCATCTTCTCCTTAACACTGCACCTCTCAAGCGCCTCTTCTGTCTTATCCCTTGCCTGACCTCTACGCCCGGACTTATCCCGGCTTCGCCATGACCCGCCTATCGCTCCTTTCCTCACTCCTTCTCCTTGCTTTGGGTGTCGCGTCATCAACCGATCTCCAGTAATGTTCCCTTGGCCAAGGGATACAACTTCACCAGTGTCAACAACCACCTCAAGCATGATCAGGCTTGCGCACAGGCATTGAAGAGTCGTGTGTTCAGGGAAGGCGGTGTTCCCGACACTGGTATAAACGAGCCGATCGCGAATCAGGTTGTCACTTACGTTGGATCGGTTGGTGTTGGCACTCTGCCTACAAACCGTGCGTAAAGAACTTGTTACGATATTATGCAGTCTGATAGGTTTCACCTTATCTAGATGACCTTCTCGTTGACAGAGGAAGGTCAGTACTTTATAATTAGAAATGTATCATAGCTGACAACCCAGTAAACAACAGTTCCAACACCTGGATCGGCTCTGGAGGTAAATGATACATACAGAGCAACACCAGCATACAAACCGATGATGCCGTAGTAAGTTGGGGTTTTTGAAATGCTAGCATGTGTTCTTGGTCAGGAGGTACGTTCCCACTTGCATTACATTCTCTAAAATGACTCACACCTATTATCAGCCGCTAACCACGCGTCGCCCACCACCCAAATGTGGGACCCAACCCTGTTCCCTCCTATACATAGGGAGACCTCATTGATTGACTCAGTCAAAGTCAATTGAGAGGGACGGTGCCACCCTTGAGGATGACGCATCACCTTACCAAAGTCTCTCTTTCATCCTCTTGTCAGCAGCTAAACCCCTCTTCCACGATAGATCTTCACCCCGCAGCACTGCAAGTTTACCTGAAATTCTACCAATGCAGCACACCGACCCCCATCCTGTATCGTTGCCAGCATCTGCGCCAAGCAATGGCTCTCGCACACCCACCAATGTGCATTTGAAGGAGCAGGGCATGGCCAAAGTGGCTGGGGGGAAGGATGTGGTAGACAACGAACGAGGTAGTACACACCTGTATTGTAGCTAGAATATCAATTGTTTGCCGCATTTTTGACCGATTCAGGAGTGTACTCATATTTCCTACCTCCTCTACCCTTTATATATTTGCTATAATGTACTATGAAACTACCTGGCTAAACGGCTACAGCTTAATCTATAGAACTATTGTGTGCTATAGATTTTAAATGGTCAGCTATGGAGAACAATATATGGGGGGGCTCTCGATGGTGCTACCAGCGCTATCATGTCAACATATTACAATATTGCAAGTACCTTTTTTCCTGATGTCTGATGCACTGACAAGCCTTACGAACGCGCTACCCTCAGTCTTGTTGTCTCCTCCATGTCCAGGTCGTACAGCGCTCACTCCTTTGGATCTCTATGTGAATAGGCTTGAGCCACATCATCCCTCCCCCTCCCATTTGACAGGCATTTTTTGCCTTTCGGCCTGCAAGGCCCTGACGGAATGTCAATAGATCTGGACTGAGAACGCGTTCATGCTTATCGACCAGGTGGAGAAGATGGGTTGTGGGATCAATGAGTTTTACCTCTCTAGAAGATCAGGGTAACATGTTCCTCAACCACTATCAACTACATCCCTTTCTTGCTCCTCAGATAGTATTGCATACAGTTGAGAAAGTTCCTGTAAATCTGCTTGTCAGTTCCAGCACGAAAGGGGTCAGTATATTTTTGATGTGGTATTGAGTCATGCTTCACCAGGAACCTAGGCTCATTGCTAATCACTCATCCGATGGGTATGCCCTTGTCCTCTCTATAACTCGCGCTCATGTGCCTTGGAAATGCATAAATGTGAGTATCTCTTAGAACATAATATCATTCTAGTATACGCCCACCTGCTTACATGCAGTCAGGCAAGGAGGGTGAACGGAATCTCACTTAGATTCAGGGTTTTCAATGGTTATTGACCTATGAGTCCCGCAGCAACTCCTTGGTTTGGATGGTTGAGCAAAGATGGTTCACTGGTGACAACCAAAGACAGAGACAAAGGTCTTCTCCACTCCATCCCCAGCTTGGTGGTCGCGCTCGAGGACAACTGCTTCGAGAGCAAATTCGAGAAATCAAGTCTGGGTCCCTTGATTGGACAAGATCTGACGCACCAACTCATCTCATTCCGCAGATCGAACCCCTGCTGTTCCGTTAGTCCATGGATCTGACATGGGCGGGGCATATATAAATCTGTGTGCCACTTGCGGTCACTTGCGGACTGCCCGTTCGCAGGTGACCACAAGTGTCTCGCAGATAATCAAAAAGGATCGCAGGTGTCGCAGGTGTCACGAGGACCCCTGAAAATGCTGCTAAATGGTAGATACCGATCTGGACAAAAAAATTCGAAATGGGGGTGCTAGGCTAGAGACAAACCGGACAAGTTTTCGAAAAAATCAGCAAAATCCTAGATACGAAATCCAGACAGGTTCTCGAGGAGAATGACAGGCTAGATACCATCCAGACACACATGGTCGCATAGTGCAATGGAAAAATGTAAGTAATTTTTGCAGTCAGCCATGTGGTCGGTGGTTCGAACCTTGCGCTGCAGAAAAAAAATTGGCCCTGAATAGGCTGGATACGAAGTCCGGACAAATTTTTGAAATTTGGTTTACGCCAGATAAAATCCAGACAGACTTCGCCAAAATTGGTATGGACAAGAATCTGAAAATCATTGATTTTAGTATCTATCATTTGGCAGTATTTTCAGGGGTCCTGTGTCACGCAGATAGTTGGAGTCCGCGACTCCGGAATACGTTGATCTAGGAGACACAAATATATCCAAATACGCACGTTCAGGTAGGTTCCAACTTCCGGCTACCTCAAAGGTTTGAATTTTCTACACAAGAGTTTAAGTTCTTATTTACTCATGCCTACTCGCAAGTTGACCGCAGGTGACTTGCAAACATCTATTTTGTGCGCAGATGCTTGCAAATGTGTCTCGCAGGTGTATCGCAAGTGATGCGCAAGTTGCATGCAAGTGTATGCAAGTCTCGCAATGGACAATAACTCTCGCAAATGTATCTTAAATGTGTCGCAGGTGTGTCGCAGATGTATCTCAAGTGTACCGCAAGCTGAACACAAGTGTATCGCCGGTGGAATGCTTGGGATGGCAAGAAGAGAGTGGGTCTGAACGAGAGGTGAGACTCCGTCACTCAAGTTCCAGAAAAATTACAATGGCAGACATTGAATACTAGAGGACATTCCGTATTTCGAGAGTCCGAACTGCCGCCGATCCGCCGATCTGCCTGTGCATCATCGATCATCATGTGCACATAACATACATATTTCAGAAAAGAAATGGGGTCGAGCGTGACGAGTACATGCAACTGCAGGGTAGCTAGCTGCGAGGGTGGCCATTACTAGCTCAAATTCATAATATCTACGGTACACCTGTCTTATGCACAACTAGGACAGTAGTATTTATGTGAGCCAGTCCACCTAACACACTGGACAGCAACAAAATAGAAATACGGGGAGCCCATTCATCGAGGGAGAGATGAGGCCGTTTGTCGAAGGGGAGTGTGCTCATTGAGGGAGGGCGGAGGTTGTTTGTTGAGGGAGGGAGGAGGCCATTCGTCGAAGGAGGAGAGCGTTCATCGAGGGGGAGGCCGTTTGTCAAGAAAGGGCCATTTGTCAAGAAAGGGCCGTTTGTCAAGGTAGGAGGCCATTCGTCGAGAAATGAGAAGTTTTGTTATTTGTCGACAGCAGGGCGCTATTTTTTGAGGGAGGGAGAGGGCTGTTCATTGAGTTTGTCGAAAGGGGGCCGTTCACCATTTGTCGAGGAAGAGAGGGGACCGTTCGTTGAACGATGAGGCCGTTCAGCATTTGTCAAGGGGGGAAGGGGGGTTAGTTCATCGAAAGGGGAGGCCGTTCGCCCATTCGCCTTTTGTCAAGGGTGCCGTTCGTCAAGGGTGGCCATTCGCCATTTGTTGAGGGAGGAGGGGGGGGGCATTCTTCGAGGGAGGAGGCCATTCGCCACTTGTCGAGGGAGGGAGGGAGAGAGGGGGGGCCATTTATCGATGGGAGGAGGCCGTTTGTCGATGGGAGGAGGCGGTGAGGGGAGGCCACATCCAGCCTTGACTCTCTGGTGGGAGCTTTAGGTTTGGGCTGTATTACCCACTTGGACTCCTTGTACGCTGAGGGACACATCAGCACCTGTTCAATGTCAACAGGACATTCACTCACCTATGGCCTTCCTGTGCTACAGCAGGCATCATACTTAGCACGGGAGTTGCGATAGGTTGGCCAAAACAGGCGAAGAGACGTCAGCACAATCATAGGCAATGGCTGAGCTGACACCTGAACTAACCGTCGTAACTGTCTGTGGTTGATACAGATCCTTGCAGAACTGCATCGAGCGGGCAGTGCCCACAGGTGTTTAAGAGGGCCGTGACCATGTTTGCAGAGGTAGGTGTCGTGCGAACTCTGGACAGGCAGACTGGCGGATCGGCGGCAGTTTGGACTCTCGGAATACTGAACCTTCTGGAATACTAAGTCCCGAAGTCTCGGGGAAAAAACTCGACCACAACCACGTCCAACAAAGAAGGAAAAGAATGATAACTTGAAGAAGCTGGTGGCTGACTAGTCATATATTCATAGTAGGGACTGTCATGGATATACCCGGGTATTAACCGTACCCGATCCACGGATTTTCCCACCCATGGATTAGATAAGGCACAGTACGGATATATCCGTCGGTAAACAGCCTGGGTGACCAAGCAGCTATATAAATGAGTGTATCTCGTTCATTTCCTGTCCGTTCTTTATGAAAAAAATTGTGTTAGAAAGCGAAAATTCAGGAGAATTCATATTAAAACAAAAGTCATTCATATATTATCTAAATTGAGTATATTGAAACTAAAGTTATTTATATATCATCATCTGAGGTCTTTCTCCTTGTATAATGCTGCTGTAACTGAGCCTTGATCACAGAGAGTGTTGGGGGTGTGTATTAGCATGCCTTGGCCATCTTGAGAGTATTTATTTTCAGTTTCAGAGAAATGCTTTTGAGAACAATTGATATTTAGGTTGGGTAGCAACAGAAACAATGAAGGAAATGGGAGGTTATATGGTGTACAGGCACAATGCATCACATTCTTGACTGCAACTTTCATGAATGGGTTCTGATTTCTGCTCAGCCCCAGGTAAGCAGCATTATTCACATTTATTTTCCTTTACTTTCAATGATTGATGCAGCTACTTCTGTGGATGCAGAGTGGGCATTCTCCACTGGTCACAATCAGATCAATTTCACCCAGCACAATATCAACTTTCAAACATTCAGAGCAGAAATGGCTCTTAGATTCTGGATTAAATTCCCCTTCTACCCAGCTTCAATAAAGTTACACAAATGATTGAAAAAAGATGGACAATGATTTCTTTTCCTCTTAAATAGGTTTTTGTAACACATTGTGTCACCAAAATTGTTCTTTCAATACCTCTGGGTTCATCAAGGTAAATTTGAATGTTCTCCTGTTTTTTTATTGGGGCATATTGTGATTGCTTTCACTAAAAATTGAATTCATTAACAGGATTTCAAAGATTTCTGGTGACAAGCTTGGGTGACAGCTGGGAACAAAGCCCAAGTCACAATTTGGACCCCTTCCACAAGCAGCAGGGGCCAGGAAGTTGTTGTGATAGCATTCTGTCGTGGTGGAAGGGAGTTGGGGGTACAAATAACACTCTTATCTATTCCGGGCACGTATGCTCAAAATATCTCAAGAAAGGTCTAAAAATATCTAATTTACCCATGGATACCTGCGGATAGTCCGGGTACTTGGTTGAGAAAATTTAAGATTAGATAATATTTGTAAACTATGACATCATCCTCAAATATCATTGTATTCAGGCTCATCTACATGTTTGGGAGCTTATTAGGAGCTAGTAGGACTCAAATCCTGCAGAGGATGGCCTTCTGGGACCATTTCAAGATAATTTCATAAGGGGTTCCATTTTTTTTTTAGGTGGCCTGCGGCCGACCTACCTACTTACCCGACCCCTGGTCGGACTTTCAAATCCTAACACCCCTTGTATCGAAGGTCGAAATTTGGTCGAGGATGACAAAGGCGCGGGGCGAGCCGGCCCAACGACCTCCGCCAAATAATCAACTTGGATCACAACTCGTCTTCCGCTGTTGCATTATCGAACTTGGCGAACGGTATCATCATGTATCTGAATACAGGATGCCACTGCGAGCACAAATGAACCATATCCATTTACCACAGCAGCTCCCAACCCACGTTCTCCTTGGTTTTCCTCAGCCCAGCCATCGCCCATCTTTCACGCCGCTCACTCCTACAGTGACTCAATCCGATATCGAAAAGCTTTTGCTGTACGAGGACTTAAGCTTTAAGAGGCAGGTTTTAGAAACGGATTCTTGGACCTTGTGCTCCAGCATTGGGAATTTGCATCCAAGGGGGTGTCGGGATTTTAAAAAAAGACCTAGGGTCGATTTTTTTGGTAGTGAGCGCTGGGCTGAACCAACCACCCAACGTAATCAGGCACATGTCTACTTTAGGAAATATGACGTCACTGCCGTGCTCCTGGTCCTCCTTTCGACGTTGAAAATGCATTGCAGACCCAATGCATGGGCACCTGTGCATGGCAAACACAAATGAGATGATATTAGAATGGTCTGACGTGAAGATGTAAGTAAGTTTCATGTTGAAACCCTAACAGAAAGTAGGTTTACTTATCCACACAGTTTCACATCCCACTGGATCACATTGTTGGCGGTTAGCTCTGCTCGGGATCCACAAAAACAATCCTCTAATCCTTCAATCTCAACAACCTTACGTTTTCATCTTTCACACTGACCTCATGTTTCCTTGTTGACAATTTCCGAGCTTGAAATAGGTGGCCTATGAACCTCGTTGGTGTCAGAATGAGTCACGGCATGAGTGTCCTGTTCTGTGGAATCTCACAGTGAATTTGCGTGCCCCGGAATATGCTAACAAATCATAATCAAAGGTCTTTGACGGTTGCCACACTAACGAAAATTATCAATGCATGTTATTATTGCCTTATGTAAGCAGTCCCATTGGTGTTTTTGGCGCATCCTGAGGCATTTAGCACACCTTGAGGCTTTCTAGTATCTATTATGTATACTTTATCCATCAGGAAGGCTGTCTATAATGTTTTTGGGCCAAAATTTTTGAGCTTCCAATTTTTTTTTAACGGCCTGACAGCCCAACCAACCAACCGGCCCCCGGTCCGGGATTATGATCCCGACACCCCCTTGTTTGCATCACCCTCGGCGCAGGAGATCTGTCTGCAGCCCATGGACATGATGTCCATTCCCTGGGGATAAGGAGCAGGTTGTGGTGAAGCCGCTTTTATTCTTGTTGCACGGAAAAGATTACTGATGTGCGAGATGCAGATAAGGACTCCTATGATCCCAACTTTGCATGGGAAGGTCGTTATCTCAAAAGGCTCCTTGCGCAAAGCCTGACACGACATCTTCAAATCAATCTCTACCGCCCGCAGCCCACCAGGGTGCGATTGTAAAACGCTTTAGCGTTTTCGGATACACAGACTCTGACCGGATGGATGCTCACGAAGATGCCGTCGAACCCGAAGATGCTCTCAGTGTACCTTAAGTTCGGTTTATTTTGGAGGGACGATCTTTGATCAGGGCTTATAGGACACAGCACGGGGAGGCCGATATGACAATTAATGGGTGAATGTATCTGCACTGTGTCGAGCCTTGAGCACATGTTATATCTACCGCTGGTATTCAACCTTCCAGTTGGTTTTTGAATCTGTGCGCGTCAGATCCTCCTCTTTGCGCTCTATGATATTTACTGACCTTTTGACCGAAGTTACAGGACCTGCAAGTGTTGTGGACAACCGCTGAGACCACTTCTTCAGCCTGAAGGTCACCTGATTTAACGAAGTGTGGTTCGATGTTGACACACCTTCCTTTCAACAGGCACTCATCTCTCTGTATCGACGATGGCTAATCTACTTTTCTGGCCATCCAAATACTTCTTCTACGCCATAGGAAATACGAGCGCGGTATATTTGACTGCAGATATTGCGCTGGAAGAGCCTGCCCGTATCTTACTTTTGGGTTGTGGTGACCCACGCAATGTTCTGCATACAATCTTCACCGAGCCTCGAAACTGTTCGTACTTTCACTGCGTCATCCGAGATATGTTGATGAACTGATCTTCCATCCCACATACAGCTGCCGTGTTAGGTAGATGGGTTATCGCAGTGCGATTTTTACCGACCAATTCACTGATTAATTCTCTTACCTTGTAGCCCGGAATGTGCTATTATTGACCATGATTGCTGATCGCCAACCGTACGCCACGATTTGGAACATATTCTTCCATTTTCGCTTGGACAAAGATTCACATACCACCCTCATCGACCAATGCAAGAAGCTGATTAAACACTCAGAGACCGCCCAGAAATGGAAAGTCTCCCCATACGCGTCTTCCATCAAGATGTCTACCGACTACACGCTCAAAGAACTCAGACGTCATTGGACACTATATGTTGGCATGGAAGAGTTACCGAATTCGCGACTCACACCCATACACGATGCATTTGACCAATTATCCAAAAAGAACTCCAGGGAAAACAAAATCACGGCTACTTGTTCCCTGGGACCTCTCGGACACCGCGGATTAACGATCACTCCGGAACACTTCAGGAACTTCTGGAAGACAGGTGTAACCTTTGTCGACGGAAAGAGAATTGCCACTGCGACATTACTGAATCCGACCTTCGTCTATTCTTTGGGCAGAGAAGGTTGCTCGCTTCATCATGGAACCGATCCCTTGAACGTCTTCCATCTTGCTGCTTTATTCGGCAACGCGAAATCTGCAGTATCTATGACGGAAGTTGTGAAGGCGGCAAATCAAGAGTTCGCGGGTTGGTGTTCCTCTTATCTCGACTCATTATCCTCCACTTCTCCACCCACCATCCGCTTTTTCGTCGGCAAAGCTACTGCCGTTTGCCGTGCACTTTGCGTGTTTGGTGACGTGGGCATACTCAATCCGGGCGTCCCCGTGGCACAGTGGAAGACGCAGTTGATACAGCTCAGCGGGGATGAGTACTATACATCTGCTCCTGGTGGAGCTCCCGTGAACTTCAATGTCATTCACACGTCCAACCTGGAGGATCACATTGGATTGCTGAACGTCCTCGTTACATCTTTACCCCTCCTCTCGCGTGAACCATCCAGTGTTCTATACACCGAATCACTTCTTTTCCTTGGGCAGGACTCCGCGACGAAGGAATTCACAGAGCACCTCCACGCTGACCTCTCTGTCATTGGTCTTCTCATCGGTTTATCTCCAGTCGATTATCTCTGTGGATTTTCCACCCGATCCAACACGCATGAGCTAATTATGCACAGGCAGTCGAAACAAGGAGCAAATGTATCGCAGTTTCAACAGGTTACGACTTGGAAAGCACCCACTTCCGGAGATACAATTGCCTCTCAGACGGCAAATATCGCGTCTCCTGTGTTTGATGAACATCAGCTGGGGACCTTGCTTTATGACATCTACCAGTCCATCTTCGAGCAAGAGAGCTCAAAGACGTTCTGGGCTGCCAACCAGAAGAACGTGTACAAAGCAGTTGGAGTCTCGAACCTTGCGCATTACGGTCGAGAATCCTTCGTCCTCTTGCTGCAGCTCATCCGCCGTAGGCTTCAGCCCTCTGAGGATTCATGGACTCGTGTTATGGACCGGTTTATGTCACTCCAACTCGCCGCTTGGTCGATCGAGTCAATGGACACACTGCACTTACAAGATTTTGGTGGGCAGTTACATCGGCACGGTGTGTATAAGGCCCCGTTCCCCCCTAGCCCACTTTGAAGACCGGACGGTTTTCACTTTGGGACACAGTTCCTGATCTTGTGCGCATTGTTCTCGTCGTCCCCCGTGAGAAACTTTCTGTGCTAGAAAACTCGAAGCCCGACGAAATTGGCAATCCACCACTGCAGTGCGACATTTTTGGTATGCGCCACCAAAACATATTCACCGCCGTACACGTTGCCTTTGGACGAGCGATTCCCATGGGAACAAAATCTCGTCCACATGTTATTTTTGAAGAGGATACGAGGGGTTGGGCAGGAAGCTCATCGCTTGTTGTATCCTTCGTTGCACCTTCTTGGCTTCTTTGTGCAGAGCCCCCAGAGCAGCTCAGCATCGGCTTCGGCGTTCGCAATACGCCTCTTGCATGTGCAACTCTCATCAAGAAGCTGGGTCTCGCTCTCCATGTATTCAGCGCCAAATTGATGGACAAGACCCTTGTTCATGTCCTCCCCGAACACCCCTTGCCCTCGAGATATCCATCTGAATCATTAGGCCGTAAAGAGCCAGGTGTATTGTCTCAGATCGGCAAATCTGGGGCTGCGTCTGTCGAGTTGGATGAACAGTGCGAATTGATCACGTCTTTGACTGCACGGGTGTCTATCACCAACGAGGACTCTGCGCGGCTGTTCAGTGAAGCCGGCGGTAAAGTCGTCCCGCAAATCACGCAGCTCTCGCCTTGTATCATCAGAGTTGCACTGGGTGACCAAACCCAGGATATAGTGTATCCTTTCCCAGTCGCAGGAAGTGCGCATCGGCTGCGCCTTGCTCGGAAGTCACGACATATTGAGGTACGTACATACTTATCACTGATTCTTGAAGTTTTGCGTCTGAACTTCCGCTTCCGCCCCACAAGGTTGTTGTACCGACCTCCAGATCACTCATGCCGGATGGAATGAAGCTGAATCCGTTTCCCGTCATCAACTCGAAAGGCCTGCTCCATACGTGGAGCATCCATCGGGTTAATCTGTCCGCCTTGCCCGTCCTTGACGTCAAGGCCAGAAATATCAAGGAGTGGCTCGACCCCCACGTCGCCTTCACGATGTCCGCTCGCGAACTATCACTCAGGAAGAAACAGCAGATCGACACGCTGATGTTCGTCAAAAACACCCTCCAGTCCATTTTCGTTGGCGCCTCAGGAATCCAAGGTGGAACTGTGCATCGTCTATTTGCTCTCCGCGATAAGAAGACAAATAATTGCGATACCTGCATCTTTATTGATGAAATTCGTTACGACCTGGCGGCTCATACACTTATCTGCGACGGGTATGTCCTCCCTCTGACGGTGGAAATAATAAAGGAGAATGAGAAGCCTTTCGCGAACCTGGTTCACCAGGGGAAAATGATCAATATTGATGTGCTCGAAGGCGGGATGCAGGCATGGAAGCAGCTCTTGCCCGCCTTTGTGGAGAGGTGCCGGTCTTCATGGACGCATGGGGCGAATTGTGAATATATTGCTTAAGGCCGCATCCCGCTCACAGAGGATATGGAGGCAGATCCCCTGTGTAGTTGCGGAAGAGGGAAGGACGTCGAAGGGATGCATAAAGTAGGACTATGGAAGACATTCGCACCATACGTCACCCGGGTTGCGCTTTCGCCATTGTTCGCAGTGTCTTATCTTGAGACTGTGGGTCGGGATCCGGACGCTCGCAAGTGTCGGGTATGCAGAGGGAAAGGGAAACCGAGGATCAAAGAATGCGCGGGGTGCCAGAAGGTGCGATATTGTTCCCCAGAGTGTCAGAAGAAGGACTGGAAGGCACATAAGCCGAAGTGCAAGCCTTAATGGGGGGACCGAGTTTTCGAGCTTGACAAAGCGTTTATCACAAATGTGTACTAGTAGCGCACGAATTATTGTACGTTGTAAGTTTGAAGTTCCATGTTGGTTTCATGTGCCGATTTTGAGAATGATATGTCTAAGTTGGCCTGGCCTGATCACCCATCCTTCATGACGCGAACATCGGCTCGGATTCGAGATAACGGTAGTCGTAAGAGAGCACGAGGAAATGTAAAGTTTGAACCAGATCTGAAAAAACACACCACTAGTGCTTTGGTTCATTACTGCGAGATGACAGCACTAAGGGGAGAGTGTTCCAGGTAGCTTGCTCCCTTTTTCTCTCGGTTGGGGCCTCCAAATGGTTATCGCACGTA